TTCCTGACTGCAGTCCCCATTTCTATCAATGCTTGATCCCAGATATGGAATTTTTTTTACTATTTCTTTTTCTTCATTGTCTAGGTTGAACTTGTGAAGGTCCTCTGTGGCCATAATTTTTGTTTTCTTTATTTTCAAAATTAAGCCTGCCTTTGCGCTTTCTTTGATCTTCCTTAGTAGATGTTCCAGATCTGTCAGCTTTTCTGCTAGTATTATGGTGTTATCTGCATATCTTAGATTGTTGATATTTCTTCCTCCTATTTTCACTCCTCCTTCTTCTGTGTCCAAGCCTACTTTTCTTATAATATGTTCTGCATACAGATTGAACAGATAGGGTGAAAGGATGCAGCCTTGTCTGACCCCTTTGCCAATTGGGAAAGTCCATGGGTTTGGTACCATAATCTTCAGATTGACTTGCCATCCACGGCTGGCATCAAATGAATGTTAATGTCTACTTGTGTCCTATGCTACTGAAAGCAGTCTCTGCTTTTTTGCACCTTTCTCTTCACACCAAATGATGTTCAGCGGTACTGAAAAAATTAAGCCTGCCCGTGAGTCTATGAATTTGCTTAATCTGTCTCTGGTGGCTCCTGATAGCAAAAACAAGGAAACATTTGATATGACTTCATAGCATGTGTTGCATTGTAAGATGTTACAGGGATGACAGAAGGGTAGGCTTGTTTAATTTGAATAATAAGGGAAGATCTTCCACATTTTCCTGTTTAACTGGGTTTAAACATCTTAGGACATCAAACATTGGTGACACCATAGTAGGCTGTTGTTGTCATTTGCCTCCAAGTCATTCTTGACTTCTGGTGACCCCAAGGTGAATTTATCATACAGTTTCCAATTTATCATACAGTTTCCTTGGCAAGTTTGTTCAGAGGGAATTTGCCATTGCCATCCTCTGAGGCAGAGAGAATGTGCTTTGCCCAAGGTCACCCAGTGCTTTTTATGCTTGAATAGGGATTTGAATCCTGTCTCCAGAGTCATAGTCCAATGCTCAAACCACTATATCATGCTGGCCCTTACTTGGAAACAACCTGCTAAATTCTCTTAATGTTAATGCATCTTCAAGCTAACCCCATCAGGATGGGGGAAAGATATTTTTAACAATGCCAGCCATTTTTGAGCTGCTGGATCTCATTACCTAATGCTGCCCCTTAAATTGTAGCCTGAAAATTGGTTTAAGATTTATGTCTTACACCTTTGGCTCTGGCTGGTGCTTTAGTGTGGTTGCTGGTGTCTTTCAATTAATTATTTTGATGATGATTTATGTTGTACCTTATTTCGAGCACTTTGAAAGTAAAGAATGAGACTATGGGTTATATATATATATATATATATATATATATATATATATATATATATATATATATATATATATATATATATATATATATATATATATAAATTGTCATTATTATGATGTGTGGTACACTGATGTACAGTCTTCTGTGTGTCCAGAACTCTCCAAAACTTCTGCAAGTTTATATCTAGCATAAATTCTCATGTATAAAGTATAATATAATAAAGGTAAGATGGGACTCGTTGGTTTTGGTGCTGCTAACATGGCTATCCCTCTGGAAATGGCAACAATGGAAGACTCTAAATTTATCCACATGGATTGGAAATCTATTCCAAACAATACCATGAGATACCATCTTTCTAACCAAATTCAAACAGCAGGATGTCATTCCCAAAGAAGTGAAGGTGAAAAACCAGTTATAGTCGATATGTGCCACAGGGCTGTAGTGGCAAATTGTGCACCTGCATTCTCTCTGAAAATAATAATAAAAAAAATTGAACTTTCTGAAATTTATACTGATGTTTAAAGAGCCAATTTTGTTTTTTTTAAAACAAATTTTATTTATTAAAAACACAGCACTGAACAATACAAATATAAACATATGAAAGAAAAATAACAAGCAAACATAAAGAGCCAATTTTGAAAAAATCTTGAGGGCCACTTTCCTAGAGTGGGCAGAGCAAAGGGAATAGGGCAAGTGAAAGTGGGTGGTGCAAGGGTATTTCTTACTCATTTGAACATCAGCCATGAGACATACAAAGTACAACCCAGTCTTTGGTGGCTTTAGCTGTAATCCTGTTGGTCCATGTGTTACCCAAAATGCTGGGGTCCTGGGAGGGCACGCACAATTGACTTCAATGGGGGAATTGATTTAGCTTGATAGGAAGCACTGAAAAGGCTTGTGTAACTCTTGAAAAAACCAGGATTCATGCCTATGTATGATGGTTTCAAACCAAGAGCTCCGTACAGTAGATTCCAAATTAGTTCAGTTTTATTTATGACAGCAAGGGGAAACCAACTGTCACTCAGAGACACTCACTCTCTCACACATACATAAAAAAATTAATGATATAAACTAGTAACTAGTTTGCTAGGTCCAGCCATAATGTGCTTAAGTGAAGCACTCACTGCAGAATTAACAATATGCAGCATACAGTGAAGTGCCCACATGACAAGCCAGTAGCCACATGGTGAATCACCATTTAGCTCTTGCCTACTATGGTACTCTAAGGAATGGCAATAATCCTAGCACAAGGAGGCACTGACATCAATGTATAGAAGCAGCAGGTTCAGAAAGAGCAAAAGAAGCAGAAATCCCAGTGTAAGATGCAGGATTACATACTGCAGCTCAGAGACCAAAAACTTGGAGGCTCACACTGGGTTCCCAGCGGAACATTCCCAGCCTTTACTGTTGCCTGGAGCCATCTCAGAAGTTGATAGCAATGTCAGAGGGTTTTAGCAGCAGATAGTACTTTGCTAGATTCAAGTATGGAGCTCTGATTGGGGGTGCAGTGGATGATTTTGGCTCAGCATGCAACCGGGACATGAGTGGCTTGCATGTGCCAAGGAGTCAAGGGAAAAAAGGACAGAGTGGCTGTCTGTACTCAACCAAGACAGAATTAGGACTGTCTCCAACAGGTATATTTATAGGAAGAAACATGATCTAAATCAGTTTATCAGGAGGATTATTCCAGGAGGAAGAATGGTCAGAAGTTTGGGGAAATGGTAGGGCAATCAGTCCATGTCTCACACAAAAAGATGCCATCTTGAAAGGGAAAGTGCCTTTTGATTCCTGACCTTTCTGCAAGTACCTGGTGCATTGCCCTTCATCATACACATATATGAAGGGATTATGTAGATTGTAGCCTCAAAAGACTTAATTCTGTCTATGTGCACTAGCACTTCCAAGCCATGTCTGTTGGATCTTCCTTCTTTGGGCAGGCTGTTGTCCTCATATTAGGGCATCTCCAGTGGCTATGTCACCAAATATCTCTTTTAATATTAA